TTTCACAGACCACCGGCGGGAGAGGGGCTGGGGGCCCCGAGAGAGCAGGCGCTGAGACAGCCGGCCCGCGAAGGCGCTTTCCGCCTGGTTCCTGCCTACGGGCTACGCGGGGGAGCCGTCCACGCGCCACGGGCACGGGAGTTTGTGGTCAAGGTAGCCGTGTCAGCATGGCTTACAGAGACACCCGACACAGCCTGAATTTTTAGGAATTATAAAATATATAGTCACTAAACAGGATGATCTAAAAGAAATTTCAATGCTATCTAAAGGAGAAAGCAGGTTATTCAATAAAATATATTGTAAAATGTATCTGTATTAGGAGCCAGCGGATGGCATGGGGTTATTCAATAAAATATATTGTAAAATGTATCTGTATTAGGAGCCAGCAGATGGCATGGTGGTTAAGGTGCCAGAGTCCCACATGGTAGACCACAGTTTGAGTCCCCGACCCGGCAGCCTGAAACACACTGGGTGCGTGTATATGTGTATGCCCAAAATCCCAGGAGGAGAACGGAGAAGAAGAGACTATGGTGTGGCCATGCTCCCGGGGGAGGGGGTCATTTCTGCCTTTCACTCTCTGTCTCTGTGGCAAATGAACACACTCTGTGGCAAAAACAAAAAAAAAAAGAAAAAGAAAGAAAGAAAAAGTATCTGTATTCTGGTTATGCCAGATGAGTAAATCCTGAAGATTTCTGTATGGCGTGACATGTAGTGAGCCATATTGTCTTACATACTTAAAAATTTGCCAAGAGGGTAGATCTCATGTTAGGTGTTATCACACTTATAATTTTTTTTTTTTTGGAGAAGTTTTTGCTATAGGGCGCAAAAAACAGAAAGCGAGAAATCACCCCCAGGGGGGATGGCCACGCCGCAATCCCTTCTCCTCCATTCTCCTCTCGGGATCTTGGGCACGCACGCACATGTGCCCGGCGTGAGTTTTAAGCCACCGGGTCCGAGACTCGAACCATGGTCGACCACGTGTGAGTCCAGCGACATAGCCATTACATTAACTGCTGGTCCCCACACTTATAATTCTAATAACAATAATTAATAAAGAAAGCAGTAAGAAACTTTCAGAGGGAATGGACAAGTTATGGCATAGGTTGCGGTGACAATTTCATGGACATATATATGTGAGTGCATACGTGCATGTGTGTGTGTGCACGCGTGTGTATAAATGAGTGTGCATGCATATACGTGTGTGTATGCAAGTATAGAGACAGATATAAGATAGATATGTAAATATCACGTCTGTCAGCTGTTTATGCCGGCGAGTACCGGCGGTCATTTCGAGATGGTGCTGAGGTTGTGGCGTTTCTTTACTGGCCTGCACTGACACTCCTGGCTCTTGCTGCCTCTGTCCCTGCAATGGCCCTTCCCTCTGCCATGCCCCCATCCACGCCTTCCTCAGAATGAACACCCTGGACAAGGAACACCAGGCAAGCATAAGGAGGCGGCCCTGCAGGAGGAGGCTGGGAAGATGTTCCCCTAGGTTCACGTTCCGGAGTGAGAAAACAAGCTGCCAAACACAGTGTGTAACAAAGTTCCCTTTCTGTGAAATAAACAAAAACCCACAGGGGGTGCGGCACACACTGGGCCACTCTCCCGAACGCTCAGATTACAAATCTGCACCCTGCTGCAGAGCTGGGGTTTGAGCCCGGGCGGGAGGCTCCCGGAGCTGTGTTGTCGATACTGTGGTCACCAGCCACAGGAGCTGTCCAGGTTTAAGTGAAGTAAAATGAGATGAGATTTAAAATCCAGCGCCCGGTAGCACCAGCCACGTTGGCAGTGGTCACGTTTGCTCAGTGCACACCACGCGCAGCACCAGAGTGGAAAGCACAGACGTGGCACCCCTCCTTCCCCTAGGAGGCCCCACCGGGCCGAGAGCCTTGTCTCCTGGACACTCTGCATCCACAGGACCACGGAAGGGCCACGTCGCCCGCAGTGTTCATGGAGTGGTGAATGACCCCAGAGCCCAGCTGAGCTCCCAGACCTGTTAGCCCTGGCTGGGCTCTGAGTCATGGGACCCCTGCATCCCAGGGAGAGTACAAGTCCCTGCTCTCCTACTGACCCCACAGAGTCACCTCGGTGAGGCCCACCTGCCTGCAGCAGTGCTGACCACAGCTGAGCCGTGAGCCTGAGCCGTGAGCACTCTCAGCTGACCACAGGGTGATGCTGGGGGACCTCTAGGGAGCCTGCCCCCCGCCACCAGGCAGCCGCTCCACACCCCAGGGAGCAGAGAACAGGCCTCGTCACTGACGTTTGGTTACTGTCCCACGGCAGCCAGGGTCCTCAGCTGTCCCCACCCTCCCACGAGCTAGGGCCGGGGGGAGGAGCCTTTTCCTTTCCAGTCAGTGCACCCACCCGCCCTGCAGCTTGCCCGTTTTAGACCAGTTGGCTTGGCCTGCTCCCTGCCCTGCCACTCACAGGGTCCTCAGGCCGTCCAGACCCCGGAACATGCCACTCCGGATGGACTCCAGCTGGTTGGCCGTCAGGTGCAGCTCGCTCACGGAGGCCGCGCCCTCGAAGGTCCCGTCTTCGATCTCTGACACCTTGTTGTTGCTCAGGTTGCTGGGACAGCGGAGGGCAGGAGGATTAGACCCCCTGCGCCCGACACGCCGTGCATGGGCCCCCACCCCGGCGGGAGCTCCCACCTCCCCGGGAGAGTCTTCCTTCTCCATCCCGCCCTCCTGACAGGCGCCCTGCTGCACGGGTAACTCACATTTTCTTCAGGTGTGTAAGTTTCTTAAACATCCCAGTGGCTTCCAGGATGGAAATCTCATTGTTGTTCAGGCGTCTGGAAGAGACAGCGCGAGAACAGACACGTCCGAGACTGCCGGATGCAGAGGACCTTCCAAACTGGGAACGCGGACTCAGAGAGGAGGAATTTGTCTGGCAAGGCAGACAGCTGCCATTTCAAAGGCCAGCTTAACCTGGTGCTGGGCGAGGAGGGAGGTCAACGGGAGAGTCTTAGCATGCACAATGCCATGAAAATTTACAGACACGAGAGACAGGTGTTTGCAGGTATGCATGCACGTGTGTGCGCAAACTCATATTCTTAGTTACAAAAAGAGCACAAGGGAAATGATTTGGGAGGAGGACAAAAGTGTCATTGAGAAGATCCACCAGGCTCGGGTGGTGACTGGCACGTGCGGTTGTGAGCTGTTTGCAGAAGGCCACAGGGTGGGGGCCGAAGCCAGCAGCCGGCATGCTCAGTGGCGTCTCCCGGGGTCACCCAGGCAGAGCAGGGGTCGAGGGAAGCCTGGAGCAGGCCAGGGGTGTTGGGGTCTGGGGCAGGGGAAGGGTGCGTGGGGCCGGGCCCTCACAGCTCAGCCGTGGACTGGGGGATGCGCTCGGGGATCTTCGTGAGCTTCAGGCTGGAGCACTCCACCACGCTGGCCTCACAGCGGCACTTGTGGGGACAGACCACGTCGCTGCTGCACTCACTGTTCAGCTGGTAATCCTCTGTGCCTGCAGGGAGGGGCGGGGTGGGGGCTCAGGACCCCGGGGCAGGCTCCAACCCAGGGGCTCCTGGGTCCCCAAGCTGACCCACCCTCTGCCACTGTCCCCCAGGCGGGCCTTGGTGGCCCCTGTCCTTCTCCTACCTGGAATGAAGTACTGCTCCTTGGCTGGGGAGAGAAACAGAGACACCTGGGTGCAGGGATCTGCCCGGCCCAGCCCCAGCCCTGCTGCCCAGCTGAAGGCCCCTGAATGTGCCCAGAGCCCATCCACCCAGCCCTGGGTGCAGGAAGCCTTCCTGCCCAGGACGTGGGCTCCTCGCACTGGTGCTGGGGTGCCACCACACCCAGTCTGCCCTGTCACAAAGAGCACCAGAACCACTGACCTGGCACTCACCACGCTGCCAGGTGAGGCCTGTGCTGATGCTACCGATGGGGACGGGGCAGGGGAGGCACCTGGCCCTGCCCGGGTCTGGGCGCAGAGGCTGCCATGCTGGCTCCAGCTGGCACTTGCACACTGTGGTGCTGAGGCCACTCTGCCAAGCCTGGCCTGGGGAGCCTCCATCTCACCCGGAGCCTGGGAGGACAGACCCGGGCCCTTCCTACAGGCCTTCAGTGAGACCTGCTCCTTCCCTAGACCTGCGTGCACTGAACCACCACTCAGAGCCACGTCTAGGGTCTGAGGCCTGCACCCTCCGGCACTGTCCCGAGTGGCGAGGCTGCCTCGTTGGAGCCATCACCGGGCCCCTGAGCACACAGGAGTCAACAGGTGGGCAGACGCAGAGGAAGGCGGCTACCTGAGCACCGGAACTTCTTGCTCTTGATCTGCCCAATGCGCTTGTTGGCAAGGCGCCGGGGGCTGGCGCAGCGGGCCCCGCTCGTCTCGATGGGGTTGGTGCGCAGAAAGTCTGCCAGCCACTTGAGGTTACAGTCGCAGATGAAAGGGTTCTGAGCCAGGTGCCTGGACAGAGGCGCAGGTCGCTGTCAGAGACAAGGGCTACAAAGATGCGCCGGCTCCACCTGGATGGGCCCTGCTGGGCCAGGTGGCCGCAGGGAGCAATGGGAGTCCTGCCTGCACCTCCCAGGGGACGGGCCTCTGTATTCAGGGCCTTTCAGACTCCAGAGCCTGCCCTGCCCCTGCCCCTGCCACACACACTTGGCGGCCTCACTCTGCGCCTCTCTGCAGCTTGCCCTCCCTCCCTGTGCCCTGGGACATTTCACAGCAGGAGTGCAGGGCGGTGAGGCCTAGAGCCATCCTGACACCCCATCCTCTGGGAGGGCCACAGGACACAGGCGCATCAGCCCCCAGCACAGCCCTTCGCGGCAGCCTTCCTCAGTTCAGGCAGCAGCAGCAGGTCTACACGGCCAGCGGCTCTCCTGCTGCCTGCTGCAAGTGGAATCACCATTCCCACCCCTGGTCTTTCCAGCTTGAGCTGCGGCTCCCTAACCACTTTACAAGCCTCCTCTCAACACAAGGGAAATGCAGAAAACATGACCGAGGGGCTTCCTACTGGGGACTCTGCCATGTCAACAGCAGGACAAACTCGGGGATGGTGCTGGGCTGCTGCGAGTGACCATGTGGTGGCCTTCCCGTCAGCGGACCCTGACCACCCTAGCAGGCTCGGACTAGCCACACCCAAGCCACCCCGCAGCAGGCTCTGCCACCCTGTGTCTGGGCCACCACAGCATTGGGCGTCCAGGGAGGAGGATGCCGCCCTATCCTGGTTGCCACACCAGAGCCAGGTCCCCGTGCAGCCGTGCAGGGAGGCAGAGCAGGGGGCAGGCTCGGAGAGACTCACAGTCGCTTCCTCCACCTTGGTGTCATCCACTCCTGACCATTTACCTACTGCCCCAGCCGGGAAGAGCTGTGGGGCTTGTGCTTGCTCATCCAGGCCTCAGGCTTCGGCTGCTCCCTCTCCCACCTGTCACCTAGGACTCTGGGTCTCAGCCTTTCCCGGCCCAGCTACCCCTGCTACTCCCTAGTCCTGACTCCTCTCTCTGGAGTCCTGGCCCTCCTGCATCCAGTTCCACATTTCTTTTCCATCTTAAACCATCATTTTGCACAGAGAAGATGCCACTTTGTGTGGACTCCCCAAGGCAAAGCTTGCTGCTTCCTTTAAGTCTGCCAGGATTTAGGGACCACTAGGAATCCTTCCAGCTGACCCAACCCATCTGCCTGGACCTTTGTGCTCCAGCTGCCCCCGAGCTGACCACTCCCCTGCAGCGCAGTCATGGCAGAAAACTCAGTCTAAAGTCCATCCAATTACGCTGTCCAGGCATGTGTTACAACGCCCAAGGGGTGTGGAGTGGAATGCATTCTTTCTAAAATCACACTTTGTGTCAACAGCAACCTGTAAAACTTGGACCACCCACAGGAACAAGTGGCTTCTGAATAAACTTAAGTATTTGATAAAAATCAGATTTTAATGGTCAGAGAATGCACGTGCTTGTGAGAGAGACAGGGAGACAGGGAGACAGGGAGACAGGGAAAAAGCACCCACCAATGAGGCATGGTCATGCCACAGTCCCTCCTCCACTTCCCCATCCTGCTGGGATTTCTGGCATGCAGGCACCCATACCTGGTGTCCAGGGCTGGGATTCAAACTATGTTCAGCCATGTGGAACTTAGCTCTCTTAACCAGTAAGCCAAACCAGTAGGCCAAGGGGCCAGTCCACAAAGTAGACTTTTTCTTCTTCCCTTTTTTTTTTTTTTTTCATGAGAGAGACTTTTGCTATGGGGGCACATGCATTCACCGGAGTGACAGAAACTGAGACACCCCCCCACCCCCACCCCGGAGCAGATGGCCACACCACAATCCCTCCTCCTCCATTCTCCTCTGGGGATTTTTGGGCATGCACATAGATGTACCTAGTGTCAGTTTCAAGTCACCAGGTCTGGGATTTGAAGGGCAGTCGACCACATGGGAGTCCAGGGCCTTAACCACTTTGCTGTCTGCTGGCCCCCATATTAGACCTTGTAACAGTGACAAAGGGCAGGGAGCTAGGGAAGGGAATACTCAGGAGGAAGACAAGAGAACCCTTTGGTAAGGAAGATGACTTTCCAATAGCCAAGATACAGAGTCCGCCTAAATGTCCACCGATAGGCGAGTGGGTATAGCAAGTCTGGTAGAGACAGTGGAATACTATGCAGTCATTAAGAAGGATGGACTCCTGTCCTTAGAGGTGCACCCGGAAGCCTGCGTATGTGGCCACGCTGTCACCTCCTCGAACATTTCTGACCCTGGAAGGAGAGAGGGAGGGCTGATTCTCAGTGTTTTTCTGGGAAATGCAGTAAGGAGTCATGGCTGAAAATCTTTGGGGGCAGATGCTTGACTTCATTAGACACAAAGAAAATGCAAATTAAAACCACAGTGAGATGCCACTTTTACCCAATAGGATATGTGTGTGTATATATGTGTGTGTG